ACCGATTCTCTTCTTAATATCACGTATTTAGGGTTTAGGGTTTTAGAGACAAGACGAGGGAGACGCCTTTTGTTGGCTATTGACTCGGCGCGGTGTTTGGGACGGGGAGGCAGACGTGCGAGCCTGAAGCTCTGGAGAGTGTTAAGAGCTCGAAGACGAAGATCAGGCTGACTTCGTCACACCCCAGCCAGAAGACATCTTACTGCAATTTGCCTAAACCAATAGCCCTGTTTGCTCCAAAGAGGCGGGGAGAATGCAGAGCAAACATGGAACCCCTTTATCGGTCACCCCTAAACTCCTCACCCCTGTTCCTGAAATCCTAATGCGAAGAGGCAACGCTTCGGGATTATGGTGCAGGGTCCAGCACATGGTAGTTTTCTAAATTAGGGTCCCTTTTGGGGTCCTTTTTATAAGGGTGCCGTACTATATTGGGGACCTAAACAGGGACCCTAATTCAGAGAACTACCCACATGTTGTTCTTGCGTTGGAGGAGAGCGCGGGCTGCCTCCTCTCGCGTGGCGGATGCTGGATCTCAGGTTGGGCGCTTTGAACTTATGGTTCAGCATTTACATGGATCTTTAAACTAAACAGCGGCTGATCGGTGGTTTCGCGGGGTGTTTCATAATCTTAACACTCCTACTAGACTTGAGAACGTGCAGCTTGTGGATGGCAGGAAGGCTCACGTTGCGTTGGGCTGTTCGAGGCGACTTTGTAGGTGCTGCGACGAAACTCCAGCCCGAGCCGAGGCTACCCTTCGGAGTTCGAGCAAGCAAGTACCCATAGTATTCTTTAGGTTTCTTAAGTGTAAGTATAGTGTAATGTACGGCCACGTTCGATTCTAATCTTTTAAGGCGTCTAGGCCGTCAAGATTGCCGATGCGGCCTGTTGTGTTAAGTTCAAGTTACCACGAGTACCAGAACCAAGGTCTTGACTTCGGAACCCAGGGCAACTGTTCACATGTGTAGTTAGTCAGCTTCTAAATCCGTTGCAGTAGCATCATGAGAACACTCGTATCGTGTACTTCAGACAGCTTGCGCGACCACTGGCATGATCGCGGTCACCGTCACACAACATAGCCTGCGTCGTGTGGATGTAGCACTCACAGCAGATGGCTGCCAGGCATACCTTCCGGTTCCTGAGTGCTGGTGCAAGCTTCATCAGGCACGGGCATCAGCTTTTAGGTGAGGCTTGCTCCGAGAACTTGACGGCACCCGTTGCTGCATTGTAGAGAGAGCGGTCTTGGCACTTATGTTAAGTGAGTGTTTCAGAGAAAAAAGAACCCGAATAAGGCAGCATTTGTAGAGTCCTTTCCCAAGAGAGCCACACCCTACACCCCAACGTTCAGAAGCTCCAGCGTGAGAACCATAGTTGCAAGGTTCGGTCTCCACGATGTGCAATGGAGCCAAGGCCTTTAAAAGGGAGTCGCGGGTTAAGAGGGCGTATTGGTTCGTTTGTTTTCTGTACATAACAAGATAGTTGTACGGTATTTCCTTTGCGCAAGATCTTCCCTTCATCCAGTTCTGTTGCATGCACAGGTGGTCCCCACCGGCCGAAGTAGTATTGTACAAACCCGAAACTTTGTAGAGAGCGTCTCATTTTAATTTACTGTCAGGGATATTTGGCTTACCGGGCGCGGAGGACATCGCTCTAAGCTAGGCGTTAAAAAGGCTACAGCATGCTACAGCTCAGGGTTTACGATTTAGGGTGAGCGGCGCATTGCGCTGCATTATAACTGTAGGCAACGATGTGACGACAGAGCCGCCATCGAGAGCTTATAAGCTTTGTTCCAGACCCATCTCGTTTGTTAGATCCCCCATCTGATTCGAAAGGTCCCTGTTTCAACCTATGGAATGCACTCATGAAGAGGCTCGAAAAAACAGTTACGATGGCGTGTGCTAATCTGTCTAGTCTAGTCCACAAGCTTCGCACACCGTAAGTCCTCGATCCCAGACCATTTCTATAAGCCCAAAACCCTATAAACCTTAACCCCGAAACCCTACGTCATAAAGTCTTAAAGCCTAAACCCACACCCCTAAACCCTAAGCCCTAAACCGTAAACCAGAAACCCTAAGCCATAAAGCCTAAACCCAACACCCCAAAGCCCGAAGCCTAATGTCCGAGTTGCGAGAGCGTAAACCCGAAACCCTAAGCTTAAACCCTAAACCCCAAACCATAAACCCGAAACCCTAGGCCATAAAGCCTAAACGCTAAACCCGAGACTTTGAGCCTTATAAGCCCTAAACCCCAAACAAGTCATAAAGCCTATAAACCCAAAACCCTAAACCCGAAACCATGCGCCCTAAACCCCAAACCCTAAGCCAAAGCCCCAAACCCAGGTCCCCAAGTTACTGAAAGAGTGTCTCTGCTTCAGGCAATGGGCTCGGCGAGATTTTCTCCCGGAGCCCCTTGAGAGCAGGGTCGTGCGTATTATAGGGTCTATCGGGATGCGGAGGTACAAGTAAGGTCGAAGCATGGGGGCATGGCGGGTGGGTGGCTGGGTGGTTGGGTTGGGGGGGGGGGGGGGGGGTTAACATTCTTAGGAGGTTTACGAGCTTTGGGTTTGGGGGTGTAAGGTTTTTGTGTCTTGGGTTTTGCGTGTAGGCATTTAGGGCCAGTTTCGGGGTAGCGAGGCTTCAAGATGCCTCAAGCCTGCTCGCTCAAGATTACCGCGGGGTTCATTCGGTTTCAGTTTTTTTTCTCCAGAAAGAGGCTGGGCTGGTGAGCATAGTTCTGGAGTTCGGAGCAAGATAACAGCTTCGATACGTTCTAGTCACATCAGCAACGCCATCGCCTGATTGTCGATGTCAGGATAATGATAGTCATGATGGTGATGATGATGTGATGATGATGATGATGATGATGATGATGATGATAATGATGTTGATGATGACGACGATGATGATTATGATGATGATGGTGATGATGGTGATGATGGTGATGATGGTGATGGTGATGGTGATGATGCTGATGATGCCGGTGATGCTGATGATTCTGATGCTGCTCGTGTTTGCGGATGTGCTACATGTTGTTACGGCAGCACATGCTTTCCCCTACTTTCCGAGGCAGCGCCTGCTTAGCAGTGGACGTGCCTCGGCACCGCAGGAACCAGGTGGCGCACACAACCCCGTGCCTCATGAATTTGCTGTATCACCAAGTCCTCGACACCGTCTCACATTGGAGACCCTGCGCTCGGTAACACCACCCTAATCCCAAAGGCCGAACACGGTTTGCACCGGATCTGGAATAGAGGCTTTCGGAGCGAGCATCCTGATATCTTGAGTTTTAGGGTTTACGGCCTGAGGCAAGGCTTTAATGGCCCGGCTACAGCCTTGTAGTCAGTGACCAAGATTGTTTCACACTCGCAAACCATCGTCTCGGAGTTTCCCCACCATCGTCTCGGAGTTTCCCCGAATTCAATAATAATAATAATGATAATAATAATGTCCTTTCAAACCCTACTTCGCGACTCGCTCAGCCAGTAGGAGGCAAAAAAAATAATAATACTGATGTTGGTCTAGGAGAAAGCTGAAACGCTAGAAAGGACCTTAAATTATAAGCCATGCAGTCCCTGAGCCTCCACGAATGCCACCTTAATTCTGTGTATATCGTGCCTTTCTGAGATTGAGCCAATGAGCAGAAAACGGGCAGATGGTCTAGAAAGCAGTACCCAAACCCCCACCAAAAGTAGGTAACATCACGGCCCTTACACACATAACCCGCCATTATTCTGCATACTCCCGGGGTCAAGGTAGGCATAGCCAACGACCTGGACCTTGATCCCTGTACTTCGGCCTAGGATGTGCTTTCGCGGAACTGGGAATCCTGGCTTCCAACTGAAAGAGAGTCGGATCTGCTGCCGAATTTGCAGATCCTGGCCTCAATGCGAGAGTTCGGGACTGCGTTCTTTGGACTTGTGTGTGAGGAGTTGGGTTTCTTCGGATTAAGATCTGATTTGTACTGTAGGCTTGAGAGGGACACCTGCGCGGAGAAGCTTCACGGCATGTTGCGAAAGGCAACGCATGTGACCTTTGCAACCCAAGCAAACCCAGCAATTTGCTATAGTGCTGATGTGCATGAGCCTGGTCCCCTGCGATAACAATTTGTCAGCCCTTTAGACGCCGGTCCCCATCCTTCAGATGTCCCGCCACCCCTCAAAAAGGCAGCACTAAGCCCGCATCAAGCCCTAGTCTTGGAGGCGTGGCCTTCGGTACATGGCATATGTATGCACTTCTGGGAAAAAGAAGGTCCCCGACCAATCCGGAACACTTACCTGATAGGGCTCCTTATGATGCTTGCCTTGCACATGTCCCGTTCAGGTATATTTTCGTACCGGGTCCCTTGGATCCCCTGAAGTTACCCACCTGAGCTCGAAGAAGGGATGTCCAGCCCCCAAATCACCGAAGCCCTTACATCAACCCACCGTAGGCCCAACCATTTGGCCTGGTCTCGATATGAACCTCAGAGTAGAATCGATAAGGATCCTACTAAAAAGGTAGGTTGGTTGCCCAAACCCTAAGCCCTAAACGGTTAAGGCATGCGTAGGATTCAGAAAGGCATTTGCCACAAAGCCATGAGGAAAGCTCGCGGCAGACTTGTCCCGGAGCTAGCTGCTATGGCGCCACCAGGGGGAGTTCTATGCAATCGGCCACCCGATGTAGCATATGGCGTGTCGAAGAGGCTTAAGTTCAACTAAGGCCTATTCTCATAAAGATATGCGTTCTCTCTCTGACCTCTTATGATCTTTTGGGTTGCTTTCTGTGTCGTTCGCTTGGAGTCTTCTACATAGAGACTACCGGCTTGACGGGGTCGAGGACAAGAAAAGTCTTTCCGAGCTCAAGGCATGCTGTGCATCTCACCTAGCTCCCTGTCTCCCTCTCTCCTCTGGATCTCCAAGCATACAGTACGATAAACCGCGAGCTTCAAATTTTCATCACTGCCAGGTCGTAAACCCAGTAGCCTGGAACAGGCATCAAGAAATCCTAGCGAAGCTAGGAAACGCCTGGCACGCACAACCCGGAGCCCCTGAACCATAAACCCGAAAGCTTGAAACTGCTAAGGCCTTAATTCCTTTCACCCTCATCCGTAACCGTAATCCCGAAACCCTACATGGTCTCCCTTGGGCTTGCACGCTTTTCCTCTTCAGTTCGGAGGAGAGACCCTGCGGTGCGACTCGGTCAGCTGGGCGGGTGGGAAACTCGGAAACCCTAAACCTGGGCCAAGCCGGTTAGAAAGATCCCAGGCAGATCGTCGACTCTCATGCTTGGAGTGCTAAGAAGGCCTGGCTGCTTGTTGCGATTCGTTGAGGGTTTGAGGATGCAGGGTTGTCGTGGAATCGCGTGAAGTTAGGCGACAGTATCCTGCGACAAGGCTGAATCGAGTGCATCACACTGTGCCGAAGAGCTGTGGAAGCCTGTCTATAGAAGGCCTGGCCTTCTACCGCCGTATAAGGCGGACAAATTTAGGCCTAAACTCATGCCAAAACCGCTTTACGGGCAGGGCAGGCAATGATAGGCCAATGCCTTACGAGGGACTCGTACCGGTCCCGAGAAAAACGTGCTGGTACCGTGTGCGATCGCTGGCAAGGGCTTCGCCGCCTACCCACCCGGAGTAGGGTGGGCGGCCTATGCCTTAAGTTTAGGGTTGGCATGGGGTCCAGCGATTTACAGTTTGGAAGTGGGTGGGGCGGGGGCGGTGTGGGGGCTTGGTGTTCAGGCTGGATGCGGACTTGCTCATCTAGAACAGCACCGGCAATCCCCACATCTCGTATCGCTGTTTTGGGACATTGGGGTTCCTTCCAGACAAGCACGCCCCAAACATGCTTCGTAATCAGAAGCTTTCTTGAGTGATATCAGGATCCTAGGTTGCATATGAGCCCCTAAACGACTAAACGAAGACGTGACAAAGAACTCGAAGAAGTACAACTTGAAGATCCAAGACAGTCAATATACCCAAGATTGCTAACCCCTCTACGCGCTGAGCCCAAGCCCGTTTGTTGACGTTTCGGCTACTTCGTACTCGGAAGAAGGAGGGGCCCTAAACCCCTAAACCCTAAACCCATCTATATATATATATATATCTCTCTCTCTCTATCTCTCTCTCTCTCTCTCAGAGGTGTCCAAATTCGAACTCCAAGAGCTCTGGTCAAATGTTCTGAAGGATCGCAAGGCCAGGCTTGGGTTTGTGTAGCGCGAGGGGAAGGGGAAGGGTGGGAGCTTATTGGTGGTGGGGATTGAGGGTGAGGGGGTTTAGGGTTTAGGGTTTATAGGGTTTAGGGTGAAGGGGTGTTCGGGTGTAGGGTTGAGGGATTTGGAATGGGAATTCCGCGGCGCGGGGCTTACGGGCTACAACTGGTTTAGGGAACTGGTCGTTTGCTCGTTACTTGCAGCTGTTGAGCATGGCATGAAGTCTCCCAGAGATCAGCACCGTCATCCTGTCAGGGGTCAGAGAATCCCAGATTCCTGCGAACCCTCGTGCTGCAGCTGGAAAGTTCATCAACGCATGCTTAGTTTATCCGAGGCCCGAAATGCATGAGGGATTGCCCGTGAAATTCTACAGGCTCCAAACAACGGCGGCTTGAACTCCCTGAACCCCGAACCCTCGACCCTCCTGACGCACTTGCCAGCAGTGCTGAAACTTCGAACCGCCTTGGATCTTTAGCCGACACTGCGTAGCTCCCAGCATTAAATCCCGAATCGTGCAATCAGATGTTCACAGAAGTATGAACGACAGCAATGTTAGCGATGTACAACACATACAACATAGCCTATACAAAAATGCGCATAGTTATGTATAAGATAATTAGTGAGCTTCTGAAATGCCATCTCGGCTTGAGGTCCTCGTCGTGATCGGGAGTTCTTTTCAGGCACGGTGTGCAGTAGAGCTGAGGGGTCGAAGTTCCGTACAGGTACACCTGGGCTAAGCCGCTGAGGGATTCAAGCAAAGGGGAGCTGGTCTGCACCTGTTGCTCCAGGGTTCAGGGTTTCGGGTAGTTGGTTTGAGGCCGAGGTTTGGGGGTAAGGTTTACCCCCATCCACAAGAAGCGACGGCTTATGGTCCTTAAAAGCGTGGTGTGCCCAATGACTGTACTTCCAAGGTTATCCTCTACTGAGCCTAACACCCAAGAAACTCGAGTCATAGGCTACGCTTTCCAAAGCTCTGAAACTCATCCCTAAGCCGCTGCATGAACTCAAGAGCACTTCAAGCTGCACGAGCTCATGGGTACCGTGGTTAGAGCATAAACGGCTACCGGTGAAAATGTCTCTATCTATCGGTATGTCTCTTATCTATCTGTTTATCTATCTATCGATCTGTCTCTCTATCTATCGATCTTCTATCTATCCATCTATGTCTCTATCTTCCTATGTATTTGTTTATCTATCTAACTATCTAACTATCTATCTATCGATTTGTCTATCTATCTATCGATCTGTCGATCTATCCATCTTTCTTTCTATCTGTTTATCTACTTATCCGTCTATCTATCTATCCATCGATCTATCTATCTGTTTATCGATCGGGCTATGTATTTGTAGTCCGATCTATCTACCTATCTATCTATCTATCTATCTGTCTGTCTATCTGTTCATCCAACTATCTTTCTTTCTATCTATCGAATTATGTGTCTGTCTACCACTGTATGCTTATCTATTTATCTACCGACTTATCTATCTGTCTATCTTTCTGTCTGTCTATCTATAGTTTAACTTAGTTGCCTATCTTATCTATCTGTCTATCGATCCATTCCTCAATGTCTCTCCAGGTCTATCTACCTATCTACCTATCTATCTGTCGATCTCATCTTAGCTTATCTTTTTTTATGGTTTCTTAACGTATCTTATCGTGTCGTGTCCGTCGTCCGTGTCTTGTCTTGAAAGTCTTGTCTTATCTGTTTATCTTATCTATCTAACGTTCTGTCTGTCTATCTATTTATACAGAGATACTTGTATATGTACACAGATTTGTGTACATACACACATATATGTATGTATGTATGTATGTATGTATGTATGTATGTATGTATGTATGTATGTATGTAAGTATGTAAAGTAAGTATGTATGTATGTATGTATGTATGTAGGTAGGTAAGTAGGTAGGTAAGTAGGTAGGTAGGTAGGTAGGTAGGTAGGTAGGTAGGTAGCTAGGTAGCTAGGTAGCTCGGTAGCTAGGTAGCAGGTAGCTAGGTTGCTTGGTAGCCAGGTAGCTGGGTAGGGTAGCTTTGTTGCTCGGTAGCTAGGTAGCTAGGTAGCTAGGTAGCTAGGTAGCTAGGTAGGTTAGATAGATAGATAGGCACACGGTCCGAAGTTGAAGGCAAGAAAAGTACAAGCTGCACTCTTGGCCCGTCACACCCAACTGTGAAGGGTTTCAGGGCTTCGGAGAATGAGCATGACACCTCGAGAGGACAGGTCTTTGTTTCATAGGTTACGCTCCCTTGGGTTTTGGCGGTTTTGGGGTTTAGGGTTTTGGGGTTTAGGGCTTTGGGGTGTACGGATTTCGGGGTTTAGAGTGTAGAGTTGTGGGTTTGGGGCTAGTCGTTCTGGGGTTTCGGGGTGTAGGGTTTAGGGTTTAGGATTTAGGGTTTAGGTTCAGGGGCTATCCCAGTCTCCTTCTAGGGATGCTTGGAGCCCTCAACCCTCATATTACAAACCCTGAACCCTAAACTCTAGACCCTAATATAGGAGCCTGAATAATTGCCGAAACTATTTTGGTGGTTCCTTACTATAACTATACTATAAAGGAGCCCCAAACCCTATTCTAATTATGAAGGCGCCTATATTGGACATGCTAAAGCCCTAAAGTAATCCCTGAACCCTAAATTCTAACCCTAAACCCAGAATCCTGGACATTATAAAGCCCTAAAGTAAACCCTGAACCCTAAACTCTGAAACTCTAACCCTAAACCCTAAACCCTAAACCCTAGGCATTCTAAAGCCCTAAGGTAAAGCCCCCCTGCGAAGCCCGCAGCCCGAAGACTGCTAGAGGCTCCGGGTTCCGATTCTTAGACTCCCGGAAAAAAGCGCGCAGAGTAGAGGCTTCTGTACTCTTTAGAGGGTTTAGGGTTTTCGGTTTAGGTTTGGAGGGTTTAGGGTTTAGGGTTTAAGGTTTAGGGTTTTCGGTTTAGGGTTCAGGGTTTGGGGTTTAGGGTTTTCGGTTTAGGGTTTAGGGTTTAGGGTTGATTCAAGAAGTCGGCTTTATGGGG